AATCATTATGAAATTTTCCTTAAAATTGGCTAAACTTATTGATGTTAAAAGATCTTTTGCTATGCAACAACCGAACGTAGCGTTTACTCAGTAATTTAATTATATTTAATTTTCATCTTGTTTTTTTTGTAGTTTATCATATCTCATTTCTTTCTTCCCTAGAAATCTAAAAATAAATATCAAGAATTTTTTTTTTCTGAACAGTACCTTGTTCGATACAACAATTATTTATACTTTTAAATAATCTTTCATGACAAATATCAGTTGAATTTTATTTACTAAGATAGAATAAAATACAAAGCTTAAACTTTTCTTCTATTCTATAAACATCATCAATCAACAAACAAATTGATTCATCGTTATAGATAATAAAAGTCTATTAGAAATGTCATTTAACAATGTTTTCTGCTATATTTTCAAGTGGCCTTTTTACGTCATTCACATATAATGGATGTCAATGTCGATGATAATATTCATTATACTACTTCATATGTCAAGTTCTGTACATCTCAAACATAATGAAAGCTTGGATATCAGATAGAGATAAATACAAAAATAAATAGAAAAGAAAGATGTTAGTGACAAGTATGACAAATGAAGAACGAGTTGATACTATGAACAAACTTTTTATTATCATTTATACACCAATAGTGTCCGTAATATAATCGTTCATGATAACGATGATGTTTATTTTGCTTTTACAAAAAAAAATATGTGAGACTTTCTTTTTCTTAGATTACAAATATTTCTTTTTGGTCTCATTTTTTGGAACAAATCAAAATGATATTTTCTTAAAAATTTGAGTCTTGACTTCAAGAAAATATTCTAAATAATAGTTGAATTAATAGAATGATTGCAACATATAGAACTGATACGATATCGCTACACATACTGTTGTATGATGATATATGGAGAAACATTGAAAATCAAAGATATAGTTGGCGTATCGACATTCATCACACTTTGGATAGCTTTTATTTTCTATGGGTGTGGGTGTGGACGTTAGTGTGGGTGTGTGGATGTGGGTGGGTGTTGGTGTGGGTGTGGGGTGTTGGTGTGGGTGGGTGTGGGGTGTGGGGTGTGGATATGGGTGTGGGGTGTGGACGTGGGTTGGTGAGGGTATGGTTGTGTGTATTCATTTCAACTATACCCACACCCACACACCACACCTACACCCGCACCCACCCACACCCCACACCCACCCACACCCACACCCACACCCCACACCCATATCCACACCCCACACCCACACCCAAATTATGTTGTTTTCAGAACAGAATGTAATCTTAATTATTCAGAAATACCAAAACGTTTTGCATCATTTACTACATGGTCCAATGAAAATTCACCGTCCGTAGATGCTTTGGTTCAAGCAGGATTTTTCTATTCAGGTAGAGCAACAATAGTTACTTGTTTTTATTGCAATGGATCATTACAAAATTGGGGTTCTAATGATAGTCCAATAATTGAACATGCTCGCTGGTTTCCATGCTGTCCATATGCGAAACAATTATGTGGCGAAGATTTATTTCGTAAAATTCAAGAATTCAAACGAATACAAAAAGGTGAATACTAAAAAATCATAAATTTTATTCATTTTTTTTCTGTTTTGATAGAGCAGGCCAAATCAACAGAAAGAACAGGTTCAAATGGTGTGATACAAACTAATGTAACAACAAATATTGGTACATTATTGATGTCTGATGAAAGTACTTTATCAAGACTCGCTGCTGCACGATTAGACTTACCAATATCACAACGTTTATTGGATCAAAATTTTCAATTGTCTATTATAAAACGATGTTGTGAAGACCAATTACAAATAAAATGTATGTTAATCGATGAAGTATTGCCTTTTCTTTTTATGTTTTCTTTGCTGAATATTTTACTTAGGTGATGATTTTGTATCTGACAATGATTTGTATGTTGCTTGTTTAATTCTTCGAAAACAAATTGAATATATCGGTGATAAAAAAGAAAACATTATTATTCCTAGTATAAAAATGAAACAAATTCGAGAACAAAACGGTGAAATTATTATTGATAGATCTTCCATTTCTATCTTCTCCCTATTTTGTAGAGATACAAATGAATAAATCAATGCCAACTGTATCTCATGCTGTTCACTCTATAGTAGAAAATGGTACAGATATTGAAATGACAACATCTTCTCAATCTTCAATTAAATCAATAAGTAATGATGATGAATGTAAAACAGAAAAAACTACTATCGCTAATCGAAGTCAATCAACTAATTCAACATCATCAAATCCATGTGCTCTTTGTCTAACTGAAGAAAAGCAATTAGCTTGTATACCATGTGGTCATATGGTTACATGTGTTGCATGTGGTCATTCGTTGCGTTTGTGTCCAATATGTTGACGAGAAATCAATGCATTTGTTAGAATTTATATTTAACAAAAACTAATTGTCGTGTACTTATATTCTTTCTTGAAATTTTTCTTCATAGTATAGTTTGTTCTTGAGGGTGTGAGTGTGGGTATTCATGTGAGTATCGATTGTCTCTTCGTGTAAATCTACACTCATACCCACTATTCTCATTAATCATATGTCAGAAAATTGTTGTCATTAAGGGATGTAGGAATAGGATGGAACTGTATATGCCACTATATAATTTATAAATCGATAGGGCTTTTCGTAGTATGTTGAGACCAGAGCCCCGTGTGGGATGGGACGCGAAAATTCGTCTTATGGGACTGATAATTAAAATTTGTCCTATGAAATGGGACAACTAAAAAATAGTTTTATCTTACCATGGAATAAGATGGGACAACTGAAATGTCAAATACCTTTTAAAAAACAAATGTCATTTAACTATCATCGCTTCAGTGAGACTATGAGTTGTTATACTATTTCATATCATATTTTATAATTTGATTAAAATGAAATTTATAGTTTGTACTCCCGTTTTTTTTGCTTATTTGCAATAAAGTACAGTCCTGCATCGGAGTCAATTAATTTGTCTGCTAAAAAATTCAGTTTTAGCATAAAAAATTTTCTGGCATTCATGTTCTAATCTCTGATATTTAATCTATAAGGTAACACATTCAGAGTATTCTAACGGTATTTCATCAAGGAGTATCAACATGAAACAAAATCGGAGTCATATTTTGATAGATACAGGTTCTTATAGAGCTTTGATTTTCAAGTATTTTCGCTCATACAATTGAGTATGACATCTAAACTGAAACGACTATACTTTATTCAGCAAAAGAATATGTTCATATAAAATGTCTTCGTCCCATGGGACGATGGAATCGGACTGTCCCATTCCATGCGAAGTTCTGGTTCAGACTACAAAACATTTTAATCAAATAATGAATATTAACCATGAAATTGGACATAAATATTGTAGATAAAAAAAAGTTGAGACGACAACATGCATCATTTGAGAAACTATTACAGGTACATTGTCTTCCCTAGTGAATTTACTGAGTTAAAGGTACCCGAAAAAGTACCCTGCTACTAGTATGTCCCGGGATCTGTTAGGTACTCAAGTACCTTATCGAGTACCCTGCTGGAAAGCGTCTAGTAAATGGGTACTTGAAGGTACTGATCAAGTACTCCACTGGGTACTATTGTACAGTAGTGTTAGGTACCCTGTTGCCAAAATTCCAGTATGTTGATGATCGAACCTAACCTTTGACTTTTTTCATTTTTGTTTCCCTCAAAGAAATTTATGATATTTTTTCGATTTTATTTAATTTAATTTTTCCAATTCTGAAAACTCAAGTAGGTCAAATTTCGAGATCTGATCGGACTTGAGTTGGTCGGATCTCCATCAGGCCACTTCAGGGTAGTCCTTTCTCAATTTACGATCGAGATCGGCATGTTCTCGACTAGTAAATAGTCAAGAAATAATCTAGAAAAAATTAGTATGAAAAAATATTAATTTTTTATGTTTTGTCAAGTTGTTAATATAAAGCCGTGTGTGCAAAAGAAAACGGTGAATGAATAGTTGTTACACAGAAGGCGATAAATCTATGGTACCCTGTAGAGCTTTCCTCAGTAAACTTACAGATGCGGGTACCCATACAAGTACTTGTTCAATAAATATACTGCTATAGGTACCCAATGCAGTACCTACATCAGTATAATTACTGAGAATTTTCGAAGTACCCATATCGGGTACGTTGCTGAAGCTTTCTCAGTACATGGGTACCCTTAGCTCAGTACATTCACTAGGGTTACCATCGCCATTCTTGATAAATCTTTCTGGTTTGGAAACAGTCCTTGAATAAGTTCCATGATTTTGCTACTTCTTGTTTTGTTTGTTCATAATTGATGTGACTTAATGAAGATGCGCCATGTTTTTAGGAAATTGTTAATAAGATAAATTTAAGAAAACGAGCTATATTTTGTTCATCATTTATGCCATTTGTTAAGAGGTATATGTGTTCATCCTGATGTAAGTAAACAAAATATAAGAAATTATACGTATTCATTATTTTCTTTTGATTAAATAATGAGTCGATCTCCTCAAGTATGTTTTCACATATCAAAATGAAATTCGATTTTTGTTTTACATTATTTAATTTGTATATGTACGCGCAATAAATAAACTACATTCAACACATTTCAAATAGAAAAATATAAAGGTAGCGTTGTTATTTGAATTTTAGTTTCAAAGTATTCGATGTATTCATTTAATTACGTAGTTGATCATCATTCATTATAACAAATATGAAGAATTCAAGTGTACATTGTAATAATATTGAAAAAACTCTTTTCTTTAACTATTTAAAAGTCATCGATATGAATCTCTCTATACAATAGTACCATATTCATTAATTATTTTTCTCTAAGCATTTAAAACTGATTTGTTTGATAATCTTATGAATTTAAAATTTTCGTGAATGGTTTTGAACTAATAATATTTAGTTTTAACTAAAAATTTAATTTATCTGTTGAACTAGGTTAAATTGCTTATATTTATTAACATCAGAAAGGGTTTAGATAGAATTAAACATAGATAATGAGAAGACCTGTGTGCAATGATGAATGTATAAAATCAATCAACACAAGAAATTATGATTGGAGACATTTATGAGATCGCTTGCGACTTTTGTTATTAGCTAATGTATTGCTTTGTCTATTCATATTCTTGCCAAACCACAAATGTATTGTACAGTCATCTTCAGGATCTATACGTTCGTCCACCATATCTGGTTGTAGTTTGTATTGAACATCTCTGTGCATTTTGGAGATCAATTGAATAATCTCATCATTAAAACATGAA